GGCTGTCACAAACATTAAGTAAGGCCTTACTACTAAGCAGATATTTAGTGTTGGGTATCCTACCATGGAAATACTTAAAGTCTCAAATAAAAACAAAGGCCTTACTACTAAGCAGATATTTAATGTTGGGTATCCTACCATGGAAATACTTAAAGTCTCAAATAAAAACACTGGTGGCTATCCTTAATGCCCCGATGTCTTTGGATGTCATAACCATGCATGGCTCATACAAATATTAGAACTTCCTTTTGTTTGATACTTCTTAATTTACAAAAACAGAAAGAGTTGCAGAACAAGCAGGTAAATGAAAATATTTTTCTATTTGATACAAATGTAGCATCTACACTAAATATTGTGTACTACATCAGTTGTGTAGTCGCTGTAAGCCCAGAGTTAACGTCCAGAAGAGAAGTCTTGAGTGTACGTAGCTGGTTTATGACTCCTGTCAAAAAAAAATAAATGAAAAGCAGCATTGTAATGAGCTTAAAGAGGGTGTTAAAAAGGTTACATCGATAAAAAAACCAAAACCACACATGAACAGTTGTATGTTTTGATGTCAGGAATAAGAATAGTTTTGTGGAAGGACTCAAGAGAATCTACATGCCAGTAGGAGTCTCATTACCTTTCAAGTCAAAAACTCACTCATCTACAACAAACTGCGCACAAAGGTCAATGAGCTTCAAGAAAAGCCAATAAAGTATACAAAGCAGTTGCCTCTACTTCCTTAAACACATTCATCAAAATGTACCAAATTGATGTTCAGGGTTTTGCCAACCACACATGGGATACTTCAATCAATGGTTTCAAAATAAGCTAGAATATGTGCAGTATTCCCTTTGTGAAATGTATCTTTGAAAATTCACTGTAGTCTAGCCTTCATGGAAATGCCGTAAGTCTATCTTTTATTTACAATTATATTTCTTATATTTACAATTATATTTACATTTCTGTTGGGATCTCATTTGCTTTAAAGCAAAGTAAAGTATAGTATAGGGAAAAAAACCACATCTGATGGCCATAATTAGGTGTGGATTCTGAATTAGCTCAGGACTTAATACATTGTGTAATGCGTCAGGAGTCTGTATTGTAACTTATAGCAGATAATGTCACTCAGCTACTAAACTATATGTAATACACTAAACCGGGTGTTAAATGCAGTGAATGACCTGCATATAGTGCTTCAACAAACAGACACTACATAGGGGCTAGAAAGACACTCCTCCACATTTTAATCTATGCATTTGTATATTACACTTAAAATTGTGGTCCGCCGGCGGTTTTGAAGAAGAGAGGCGTGCAAAACCAAAGAATATTTGTGAGTCTAGCCAACTCCTTGGTTTTGCACCCCTCCCTGTCACAGGTGCCTCATCCCAGGGCCCTATTTAGCCTTGAACTGCAGAGAACCCCAGATAGAATTTTTATTCCCCAAGTAAGTATCTCATGAAGCAGATACTAGGCTGTTAGAGTAGGACCTGCCAAGATGTGGTATATTGACATTGTGGCAGGCTTATGCAATGTATGATCATTTAATGTAACTAAATCCCCATTAGTTTTTTGCCTACATTAGGTGTTTTTTTAAAAAACCAACAAAATCTGTCAGCACCGAAGTTGCTGTTTAGTGGATAAGGGAGTGCGCTGGATCTTCTTTAGTAATTTATTTATCGTGGAAACTACCTGTGTGAAGCTGTGTATGTAAACCAGATCAGTACTGCTGATGACAAAGAAGAGCTAATTTCAAAAGTATGTTTTCTATCGCAGCTTACACAGTTAGCACTAATAGTAACTCGACATGCTACTGAAGTGATAGTTGGCTCTGTCGGAGGTGATAAGTCTGCATTGACCTGGATTAATACATTAATAAATTAAGCACTACATTTTCTAGGCAGGGGTCACTCAAGTGACCTTTTTTTTTCAACTACTTATATGTTATAGATATAATTCTATCCAGTAACCAGATTAATAACATTATTAATATCATCAGTATTTAATATGTTTAAATAGAAATTTCATTTTTAAATTAGTATATCTCATTATTCTTCAATATTTTTAACATACACAGTCACTTGTTTTACTTTATGCGTTCAATTCTTCAGTTAATTGTGTTTCTTTAGTTAATTTCTCATTTGCACTCTAGTGTTTTATATGGTTCATGTTTATATTTATAGTGTATACATCTTAGTAATGTTGTATGTGTCTAAGCTTCTCTATATAAACAACAACATGGGATTTTGTAACAATTTAAACATTGTATAAGTTTGATAACTGTAGGATTTATGACAATTTTATATCCAGGTAAATCATCTCATTACTAAAGAGTAGAGTGGTCTACAAAGATGATGTTTCTCAAATAAAACTGCCAGTGGAATGGATTTATACCAACCCACAATGAGATTGGAGAACAGTCCATTATGTTAACTAGACTTGTTCATGGCAAACAAATTTTGCTTGGCTGAAACATTTTTCTCTAAAACAAAAAACTGGAGTTTTTTTTTTTACAACTTCTCCCTATTGCTCACTTTCTCACATCAATTATCTGTTTTCCTCATCAATCAACTCTTTTTTTCAGGTTTCACGTGCAAAATTCAGATTTAGGACTCAGAATGAACCACTGTGGTGGTTCATGAGTCGGATACATTTCAGCTTGTTTGAGTTTGGGAATTTGACCAAATTGCAGTTCTGCCAAGAATTAATCTCGTAACCAGTTTCACAATAGACTGTTGGGCAAATTACTATGTGTTGCTATGCAAGTAAAAATAAAATATTTTATTTTATCCAAACACCAGCAAGCTGCTTAATCTATGCACAACCATTACATAGTACAGCTATAAAAAGCTTTATGCAAGATATCTTTATGAAAAACTACCCCACTGATATTTTGTTTGCTATTACATGCTCCTAGCTCTCGCCAGACACAGTTATTAACAAGCAACAACAAAACAATTGAGATCATTCGCTCCATACACATTATTCCTTCTATCTTTTTAAAGATTTTTGTCCTTGGTTTAAAAATTTGGATAAGCTTTTGAAATATAATTTTTCATGTTTTAAAAATATTTTTATATGTTAAAAATAAACATATATAAAACATGTGACGAGACCAATCTCGCCACATTGCATTGGAGAAGCCTGGTTGCTCGCCTGTTGCCCTTGGATTATGGCCCCATGTCAAAACGCTTGCTTTTCCCCTGCAAAGACACGAAAGCCGGGTCATTTGGTGCTTGCCCTGTTTGAGAGGTGATACCCCAGATAGCTATGCCGTGGAGCCCATTTGTATAATGAAAGACTATGGGAAAGACTTTGGCTCCATGGCGATTGAACTGTATGTGTGTGCTCTGAGCGCCATTCAGTAATAATGTGCGCTCAGATCTAAGCTATCTTGGGATATGTTGAATGTACCTGTTTTGTGCAATGGCTGCACAGTTATATGTTTTTATGTGTTTTATTGCCTTTTGCTGCCATGTGTTCAATGGAGTTGAATTGAATTACTTCCCAATTATCTCCAGGATAGAAGACTCTGTGGAACTGGTTTTGGGCAGAAAAGCCATGCTTCATTTGGTCACAAAGGACTTCAATCTATCTTTTGAACCAATGGACCAATTTGGATGTTTTTGACATATGTTTGTATTTGGAGTATGTAGTTTGGAAAATGTAAGTTTTATGTGAATGTGATGCATACTTTTCAAGTTATGAATAATGTGGAAAAATTGTGTTTCTCTGCTTGTGCTAATTACATTACCCATTGTGTAAGGTAATTGTATCACAGGCAGAGGGGATGATTTTGTGTGGGAGTGTCATGTATGTGTTTATTGGTTGGTTTCCAAAACCCTGTGGGTGGTACTAATGTGTAAGTATGTGTATATAAGGACAATAAACCCACAGCTCTGTCTGTTCACTGATTGACCCTCAACACAGAGCTTTGTCTCATTCTTGGGGGGATTTATTGTATGCTGTTCCAGTTTGACTGCTAGGAGTGTAAACCTATTCGTATGGTTTTTCCTATTCGGCTGTTTACGGCATTCATATGGTTTCCTGTTCGGCGGATTGGTGTTCTACAGTAGCTGTGCCTGTGTCTCTGGAAGGAGAAGATCTACTAAATGGCGGTTTAACCCTTTTATGCCTGGCCTTGCCATTACAAAACATATACAAAAATAAATTAAAAAAATATCAAGTTTTTAAACATTTTCAAAATAATATATAATTTGAAAAGCTTATCCAAAAAAGAAAAGTTGTGTCATTTTTTTATATTTGTCTTTCTTTAGCAATCTCAATACAATGTGCATACCTTTACTTTTTCATCTACTTTATTTTCCAGACAGCTGGATGTCCTCGTATTCGTAACAGAAAACACTCCGGACAAACACTGTCCTCACAAGGAGGAATGGTTCAACTTTATTCAATCTTTGGATGATGTTTTTTCTGGTCATTCTTTGTTTTATTGAGGCAAGAAATTGGTTACAACAATAAAATAGGAGACATATTAGTATATCAGTCCAACATACAATGATAGATTCATAGCAATAGTAGGGAGATGTGGGCATGATTCTCCTTACGTTGTCTGCCTCTTTTTATATAAAGTATAGAAGCAAAATAGTATAAAAGATAAACGATCAAATAGAATTAACATAGGATCTAACGTAGTGGAAATTGCATTTCTTTCATATGTTATGGTTTATGGACATAGCTATGAAATGTAGCTGAGTAGAGAATGTGAGCTGCCTCTGTAGACACCGGAAAGGGTCAAAGGCAGTTATGCAGGTTTACAATTATCAGAGCCTGGCACCGATTTAGTCAGGGAGCTAATAACAAGGTAGTGCAGGTCATTAGTGGGCTGTGGGGTAAGGAATATGTGGGGTGGTAAGCCCCACTTGCCAACAGGTACGACTAGGCTGTGTATTAAAGGGACACTCTATATTGGAATCTGAAAAGAAACAGTAGTAAAAAATAACAGAGAAACAAAGTAAAATAACATAAGGCATAGGAACTGTGTGAAGAGACAGAGTTCAAGCTGGTCGCTCATAGAATTGCTGCAGGATTTCCCTTCTGCTCGGCTGGAACAAGCAGTTGAATTTTATCTGGATCCTAGGATCTCTGCTGTAACGTTGTCTGTGTAGAGTGTAGTGCCCCTGAAGGGTGCTTGTAATTTGTGATGCGTGTGTGACTTTTAAAGTCCCAGTATCACAGGTGATTATCAGGCAACATGGGGTACCCCACATGTATGATTTATTGTGAGCAGAAAGTTCCTTATTCAGAGGATGCATAGATCTTCTCCAGTCCAGTGTTGATTTGGATAGGTCCGGGTAGAATGTTGAGTCATGGTCTTCAAATCTGTATGGAGACTTGTTGAGAGTGGCGACCATGAAGGTAAGGCGATCTTGCCCGCTCTGGAAGCAGATAATGACATCCATTTGGACCCCATATTGGCCCTAGGGGAGGTAGGAATTCTGTAGCAGCTGCCTAGTTTTAGCCTGTTTGGCAGGGAAGAGATTTTGAAGCAGTTTCCTGAAGAAATTAATAAGTTCAGCTGCAGTAATGTTGTCCAGTAGGCCGTACACCTTTACATTGTTCCAATTCTTCCTGTCTTCCATTGCTGCCATGCAGTTTTGTGCGATGCCGTGTTCACTTGTAATGCCTGCATATGGTGCTCCAGAGTAGTGAGTCAGGCTTCATGAGCCGCTGTGTTCAGCTCCGTATCGTGGAGACGAGCAGACCCCCTCCGATCTACTCACGGTACTGGCCTATGTTGGCCGCAATGTTGCATCAGAGTTTGTCTAGAAGGCCTCTCAACATACCCTCCATCACCGGCGTGCCCGTGATGGTTGTGGGTGTTGAAGGTGCAGGTTCTCTCACCATCTGTGTACAAATAGTCCCCAAGTCAACTAGGGAAGCTTCACTGGAGGATCGGGAAGGCCCATCAGGAGGAGACACCATGTTAGGTCTCTGTTGACATTGAAGCCTCAAAAGTAACTCCCCAATATCTGTAGACGCCGGTGTTTTTTCAGGCTTGTATTTCTTGTTTTTGAGGCACATCGTTTGGGCAGCACTTCCCTGTTGTTTGGGAGTATTGGGGTAAGAAGTGACCCTGATTTTTAGCAGTTAGGTGCTGTTTCACTTGGAGCTCCTGAGATGCACGTCTGCTCAGGATGGCTGCTGGCTCCACCCCCCTGGATGGTGTTTTTAATAGTACAAACGCCAGCTTGTTTTCCAGAACTTCATGATGCGGAAATTAGAATTCAATAACAAGGCTTAACTGATACCCTATATCAAATATCATAAAAAGGTATGTGGATTAAAATAATGTGAACATTTATGTTATAAAACATTCCTATGTCTCCATATCTAGCACAATGCCTATAAAACTTTTAACAGATACATTTTTATTAATGCTACTAAATATTCTTCTATGGTGGGCATTGCACATTAGAGCTTATACAGTTAGTCTATTTCATACTTTATATCAAGTCTAGGAAATATATTTTCATAGCCAGTGAACCTGTTTCAGATTAAATCAAACCTTTAGTTTAACATTATAAAAACGATGAATGCATAAATAACATTTTATGATGAAAACTGTATGTATTGTATTGTATTCAAAGTCCCTGCCAATTTGAAAGTTGGTAGCATGCCATGTTTCGAGTAGTTGGTCTGTGTGGGTTGTGACATGTGAAATCACCGGTCTGTTGGTGCAAAAATGCTGTGAGGCTAGTGGAGGTTTGCCAGCAGACCAAAACATTTCAGCCTTTCGCATAAACATCAAAGGTGTCCATTTTGTTTTTAAATCTGTTTTAATACCTGCTGGTCATGCATAACTCATAGAGTTTGGGCGTGGGTTGTAATTAAAGTGAAACGCAAACAATAATAGAACAAAACATGAATTATTCTTCACAAAAGACAGAGTTTGGTTTTATTGTTAAAATATGTATAACAAAATCCAGAGCAAGCCATAATTATATTAGAACGTGACATTAAAAACCTAAACTGTGAGTTGTATAGTTGCAACCTGTAATAAATATTAAATATAGATATAACTATTCACTAAAATACATATTAAAACATCAGCTGATATCAACAGACTTGCAGATACTTATTTACGAGTAATATTTTTTGTTGGTACACATAAGGATTTTGTTTGATAGTTTAGCTTGATATTACTGCAAATATTAATAGTAATGCATCTTTGTCCTTACACATAAAATTTACTTTGTTTACAAAAAAATAAACGGAGGAAACTGAGTTAAATGCATCATTTGATCATTTGATTAATTATTTTACCGTTCTTAAACACAGGTACATTTTATGCTTCAATTCATATGTACTAAACGGCAAAATGTCAGTTACCAATTCAGTTGGCTGTAGTCACTGTCATTCAGTTACTGTCATTTTGTTCAGTAATGGAATAGCTTAAATTTATTGAAATTAAGTAAACACATTTTGGATTCTCACCAGGGCTCAGGACTGTAGGCGTCGGCCCCTGGATGAAGTGTGAAACACAGGGCCAGACCAGCCCAATTTTCCCGGTGGGCTGCAGCACCTGACACGGTCGCGGGCCGCATGTAGGTGCTGCCGGGTGGCCGGTCCGGTGGCACAATCTAAGGGGGGCTGCATGGCTATCTGTATTAGTGAGTGTGCCACCGGACGAGCTAGGCAGCCGCCTGGTGACACCTCCATGTGTTACATGAGGTACAACCGCGGGCCGGAATGTAACTATTGAACTGACTGCCGCATCTCATGTAATCAGTGCACCGGGGGGGGCGCCTAGCCGGTCCAGTGGCACACTCACTAATAATGACAGCTGTGTAAATGTCAGATGACACAGGAGTACTGAGGGAGGGGGCAGACCTGACTGTCATGCTCCCTTGCGGTTCTCACAATTTCCAGCACAGCCACATCATAGAGTAGTGATTACTCTATGATGTGTCAAAGCTGGAAATTGTGGGAACCACGAGGGAGCATGATGGAGAGAGAGAGACAACAGCACATTGCACAGGTCAGCCTCAGGAGACAATGGGAGGGGGAGAAAGAGACAGAGGGAGAAGAGAGAGACACAGTGGGAGGAGAAAGAGACAGAGGTGGAAGAGAGAGACACAGGAGGAGGGGGAGAAAGAGACAGGAGGGGTGGGGAGAAAGAGACAGAGGGAAAAGATAGAGACACTGGGGGAGGGGGGAGACAGGGGGAGAAAGAGACAGAGGGGGAAGAGAGACACAAGGGGAGGGGGAGAAAGAGACAGAGTGGGAAGAGACACACACAGAGGAGCAGCGAGGGGGATATAGGGGCACAAAGAGGGTCTGCAGGAAGAAAGAGGCACACAGAGGGACTAAGGGGAGACAAACAGACACACAGAAGGTTTGTTGGGGGAACAAAGAGACACAGAAGGTTTGTTGGGGAGACAAAGAGACATACAGAATGGAAGGAGACAAAGTGACACACAAAAGGTTTGTGGCGGGCAAAGCTAGGCTGAGGGAGAAAGATGCACCCAAAGGGTCTGGGGGAGACAAAGAGACACAAAGAATGTTTGTTGGGGGGGACATAGACACACACAAAAGGGGCATACAGAGGGCTGAGAAGGGTAAAAAGAGACATACAGGGGCTGGGATGAAGTAAAAGATACACAAGGGGAGTTGAAAGAGACACACAAGGGGGGTTGTAAGAGACACAAAGGAGACAAATTGAAGACAAGATACACTAAACAAGGTTAAAAAAAAATGAAAAGAGGTAATAAGAAACTGCAATAAATTCAAAAGGGCTGATGCGATGCATTATTGGGCTGGTATATAATTTTTTCCAGGGCTGCTTTTAGTTCCCAGTCCGGCCCTGGTAAAACAGCCCCTGATAAAAATCAAAAAGCTTACTAATTAGGGTGCAAAACCATTACACCTTCAGCAGCATTATTTGATATCTCTACATGTGCATCTCTTCATATGGAAACACTGTTCATACTTACTCCAAGCATTGGGGCTTCTTCAAATCACTGAAGTGGTCGTGGAGCTTATAGTAACCCTTTAACAGAAATTAAAGGTGATTTTCAATGTTTTTTTCAATTTTGTAGTTTCCAAAAAAGTGACAGCTCCCCTTTTAAACAAAGTAAGATAGAAAGAACATAATGTGATCACATGAAGAACGTGCTTAAGGTTACGCTGTATCCTTACACGCACACAGTGGATAGACAACAAAGTGTACTGTTACGCAGCTGACAAGAAAAGGTCAGATGTTTATTTTTTCCCAAGAATTTATGTAGTTTTAATGTGTTCCCAACAGATAAAATGTGATGTGATTAAAACCCAGCGGTGAAGCTGTCTTCTGGTGATACATCTTAAATGTTGACTCATCAAAAACAAACCACATAACCTCAATTAAAAGGTTTATTAAATAGACAAAGTATTGGAATTATATTAATAGCTGGACTAAGGCTTGCTGAAATGTATAATAAATAAAATATTTAGCTGTATATCTTCAGACATTTTTTATATTCTAAAGAAAGTAGGATTAAAAGTTAAATTACTCTGTGTGGTATTAAAAGTCAAGGGTGAAATATGCTGGAACAGGTTAAAACAGCAAATGCTGCCTATCATGTCCCTTTGATCAGATATAAAATTCTTCTTCCGACCTTTTTTGCTCTCGCAAAAACGTAGGAACACAACTGAGTTAAAAAGATGTTAGATAAAAAAATTATATTAGATAAAAATTCTATAGATACTAAACATTTTTCGATTCAATCTATTGAAAAGAAAACCTTTTGGATTTAGTTTAAAATACATTTTATATGAATGGATCATAAGGTACAACTAACAAAAAGCAGAATTTATTATTATTATTGAATAAATGTTGTTTCCCAACTGAAATATAGTTCAGAATCTGAGACACTCATTCATCCGATGGTTCAGCTCATCAGAATATCATCGATGAAAGAAAAATATGCAGGAAAACAATTTGGATAAACCAAAAAGGTGGTAAAATTGGCCAATCAGTGTACTGTAAAATATATACATAATATAAATATTATCAATTTCCCACCAAGCAATAACAACAAAAATCTATATTTATATTATTTAATATATTTATTAAAGATATAAATTATATAAATATAGATTTTCTCCTCTATTTTTCAATCTTGTGCTCAGTTGATTTGTGAATAAAATCAACATTAAATGGCTGTCCCTAAGCTATCAATAATTTTTTCCATCAACCATCTTTTTACTTGGTGCCACAGGCAGAACTCCGAATCATGAATAAAATGAACATGCTCATCCATTGCAGTCATTTGTTCTGTTATATGTCCATATTAAACTTCGAAGTTCCGAAATTCAGATGAACTATCAGGCAACAGGATGACTATATAAAAATTAAGTCCCTCTAATCACAAGCTGCTAATATAACATTTGTATCAATAAGAGTACTAATTTTAAAATT